CCTTCATGTTAGTCAAAAACATCAGTTTTTATTTTAGCACAATATAATTAAACAATTAACAAAGGTAGTTATCGATTGTGTGTTTTTAAAAAAAAATAAAATAAAAAATTTCTGTTTGCTTTTGTTTCATCTACACGCTTTACCGGGCAAAGCACAGAGTCTTGCAGTGCAGTACGCTCGGCACATGAACATAGTACGGCATTACTGGTAAAAAATGCCAATGTACATCCATGAATAAATATGGCATTTCTGTGTAACATGCCTGAGGGTGCAAATCCTCACCTGATGCATCATGGGACAAAGAAGCCACCGCAACAAGGAATTACAATGAATGTAATTAAGATTAAAAAACTGAACACACACAAAGCTACCATTACTGCATTATTCACCCTAGTAAAGCTGCACGTTTATGGGGGTGAATTAATGGAGGAACTGTGACTTCCAGTGAAAGTTCCTCTTTAAAACAAATGTTTACTACAACCACGTACTCTGTGTACTTTAAACACAAAAAGAAAATGGTTATGTTTAGAAAATAAGAATAAAAAAAAATAAAAAAATATAGGAATGTGCCTTTCCCTCTGAAGTGACGGCTCATTTTTAATTCATCTTTGCTTTCCATTTTTCAAAGTGATCATTTAAGATGCAATTGAAGTTCGTATTTGGAATATAGGAAAGCAATCCCATCTATGAAATGTCAGACCGATGCCCCAAAAAGTGCAGAGCCTTTCTATACCTCTGCACTGCAGCACTCCTCGCTGCCAAAAACAAACCCAAGTGTAAACTAGGATTTATGGCCATCGGGCAAGAAATCCTAGTATAGAACATGATAAAATAGTTCACTTAGACAGATTGAAAATAAATGGATTACTAAATGAAAAACCAAGTATTATAAGTGATAACTAACGCAACGTTAAATAGTCGCAACGATAATGGTGCAGAGAATGCATTGCACACTGCCTACTGAAACTTGTTTATAGCTGCACGGATTTGCAAATATTTTTTCTGGTTGACAAACATATCCAAAAATCACCCAGATCAGTTTAGGGGTTCGGGAATTTTCATCTTAGTTTGACCGACCGCACACGAGGCTCCTGCCCAGAAATAGTTCCATGAGTTTAGGTTGTGCGGTCGGTCTGTTTTGGAAAGTCTGTAAACCAAACAAATCCACGAACAGTACCCCCTGGCTCTTAGTAGCGTTTGTTCCCCTAGTTCGTGGGAACAAAACTACCGAATAGCACTCTCCTGGCTGATCAGTGAAAGGAAGCAGGCATTTGCAAAGTTTGACCGGCGTTCGGGAAGTCGAGTGTCTGATTTTAGTTCCAGACACTTGACGACCAAGTCCCGCTGCATCCTTTCATGTGAACAAGATGGTCGCCGTGTTCTCCTGCAGATGGTGTTCGATTAAGGGAGAGTACTTAATTCACGTTTTTCTTTTAAGTTAATGAGCCGAATTAACTTGGTCGGTGTTCGGTACGAACGTATTAAAGTCAAAATACCGAATAAACAGGGTAGTTTGTTCACACTATTTTTCATGGTTCTTGTGAATATATATGAAGGAGAATCCTTGCTCTGCAGCAATTCCATTAGGCAATCTAGTTCCTAAAGGGTGTAGCTGAACCATTCAACCAGTAGCTATGGAAAACCATAATCCATGCCATTGTGTGTTACGATTTGTGCATATAGGCAATAATAAAGGAGATAAGTCTCAGTTGAATCTCATACCTCCCTCATACTGTACCTGGACCACCCTGACTTGGGCTCTTGTCCCAGGTTAGTGCCTTGGTGTCCTGCATATGTTGACACCAGGGAACTACCACCAAGGCACAAAGTGTGAGTGCATCAGCAGACGTGCACCTGGTATGTTGTTGAACTGGCTTTGAAGCTATTCCCAAGCCAAGACTGCTTCCAAAGCACTCTGCGCATGTGTAGCAAGAAGTAGGCACAAAAATAGAGGCTGTCGATTAGCCTAGTGTGCATTCTTGCAAAGCTGGGATGCCCTCTTTTTCTGGTGGACCTAGCCTTTTTCAGGCAGACCTGTCTTTTTAGTCATCACTAGCATGCTCCCTATAAGCTGGCACACCCCTATCCTGATTTCATGCCTTTCAATGGTGACAAGTATAGAATCATGTGACACCACCAGAAAGCATGGATCCAAGTTAAACAGCTAGTTATAGCTTACCTACATGCTACTCTCAGCAGGACATTGTGGAAGTAATCCAAATATATGATTATGTCCACAATGAATGGCTTTAAAACATGCACAAAATTGATATTACTTATGTGGGTGTGAAAATGTCTATGTTGGCACATAGAGGTTAACATGCCTAGACTGATTGACTACGTTATTCACCATAGAGGTAGGAGTACTTGGGAAAACTGTATCCACAGCGGACTAGTAGCAAGAGGGAAGGTAGTTTCCTCAGTTACGGTGCTGTACAATACTGGGAGGTTACAGACGGGTACATTAATGTATCACTACTTGAAATAAATCGTACATAGTTCTTGTTTGTGTAAAAAAAAAATAAAAAAATTAAAAAAACAAACAAAAAACTTACATTATAAAGGGCTAGCCATTGATTTGGAGAAGCATACCTTGGCATTCCCTTGTATATACACAAATCTTATTCCTGAGCATCTCCAGCTTACATTAAGGAGCTTTTATAATACAAAAAAAAAAAAAAAGCTTAGTGCCATCTAGTAATTACTATCTCAGCATACCACACGTTAAGCATTATTTGAATACACCAAAGTCAGCAGACTTTCTTTAAACATTGTCAAGGGAAGTTGTCAGTAAACCAAAAAAAAAAAAAACACACACAACACTATTCACGGAAGCTCCCCCACCCCTCCCAGGACAGAGGCTTTGTAAATACACCATCTATGCAGGCTGTTTGATACCAGGTGTGGTTCAGACATAGTGCAGTGATCATACTATTCTTAAGGGTTTATTTACTTAAGTGAGAATTCACATGGAGTTTGAAATTTGAGGCCAAAATATCTGAACTGCTAGAAATTCTCAAGCTCAGTTTGGCTATTCTGGCATTAAATTTGAAATTCACTTTGAATGCTTACTTAAAAGGACCACTCTAGGCACCCAGACCACTTCAGCTTAATGAAGTGGTCTGGGTGCCAGGTCCAACTAGGGTTAACCCATTTTTTTTTTTATAAACATAGCAGTTTCAGAGAAACTGCTATGTTTATAAATGGGTTAAGCCTTCCCCCAAATCCTCTAGTGGCTGTCTCACTGACAGCCGCTAGAGGCACTTGCGTGATTCTCACTGTGAAAAATCACAGTGAGAGCACGCAAGCGTCCATAGGAAAGCATTGATAATGCTTTCCTATGCGACCGACTGAATGTGCGCACAGCTCTTGCCGCGCGTGCGCATTCAGCCGACGGGGAGGAGGAGGATCGGAGGCGGAGGGCTCCCCGCCCAGTGCTGGAAAAAGTTACGTTTTACCCCTTTTCCCCTTTCCGGAGCCGGGCGGGAGGGGGACCCTGAGGGTGGGGGCACCCTCAGGGCACTATAGTGCCAGGAAAACGAGTATGTTTTTCTGGCACTATAGTGGTCCTTTAAGTAAATATCCTATAGGTTTTAATTATGGCTTACAGGGCCCATTTAGTCTGGGATTTTTTCCTTACCCATAAAATAAATAACCAACCACATATTCTATACAGATCTGGTATTGATCATACACATCTGCATTAGCAATGCCAATTTCATCCCTATTTAGATTACTATAATCTAGAACAATAATATATATATATATATATATATATATATATTTTTTTATTTGATTGTAATAGATCCCTATTTAAGGAACACTAAGAACCAAAATCACTTTATCTCAATGACAGTTTTCAACCGCAAAGGCAGCATCTATGGTTCCAAAAACAGTGTCCATTTCTCAGGTAAAGGCATTTAGGGTTATTCACTACTCAGACAAAATCTGGTGAAAACAACCAAATTCCAACCACTTTGGCAATTCTCCGATTTACGAAAACCAAATGTGGTCAGGTTGGTTCGACCAATTCTGCAATATTGTTTC